GGTAGGAAGCCTGAGGAAGGTAGAATGGGAGCTGGTGAAACTAAGCTTTCTTCAGGGGTGACTAATAACATGCACAAAGTGTAATAGGCGCTAGTTTGAAGAGGCTTCTATGAGGAAAGAGAAATGAAGATAGTCAGAAGGAGAATCAGCATCAAACACAGCCCTTTATCAGTGAGCATGGGCAGGAAATGGAGTTGGGATTGTAGAAACCAGATACAAAGAGGAAGTGAAAAGAGGTCTGCGCAGGTCCTTAGGGTTCCATGTTCTACAGCTGTAACTTTGCTCAACTCATTTGCCCTTCCTACTTGCTTAACAGAATTCCACTTAAATTTTTTTTTTTTTCTTTTCGGTAGGGACTGAAAATAGGACACTATTTGAAAAGGTATTAAAATAGTCCTGTTAAGATATAATAAGTTCCTGAATTTTAAAGAGGCTGTTGCAAAGGTGAAATGACTGACTAGGTGATTCACGGGTCATGTACACATCTCCACCACAATCTAAAGAGAAATGCCTCAGAAAGCAACATAATTTATTTCAGACATGTTTAGTCAGCATGAAGAGGATTTAAGGATGGTCTTCTGCCTCAACCCCATATATATAGAAAAGTGCTAGGAGTGCGGCATTGGGATGAAGACTTTTTTCTCTCTCAGGGAAGGTTAGGATTATCTTCTGAATTTTGTCTGCTTTTAGATTTAAGCTAAATACCAGCAGAGTCAAGAAGGATAGAATTTTTTCATAGTGCACAGTGTTGAATCAGATAAATTGGATCAGCTGCAGAACTGAAAATGTTCTTAAAAAATATAGTCTGTCTTATATTCATGACTCCATATCCCCACTGAGGGTTCTGCACCAGTGCTACTTTAAAAGTACGTTTCTCTGAATTTCCCCACAACCACATGTGTACACAGTTGTTCAATTGCAGGGACAATGAAACAGCAGAGACCAGAGCCTTGCAATATACACAAACATACATTGTAAGTTAATAGGTTAATAAAACTGAAACTGAAGTCAACAGATACTGTACAGTAGCTATTTCTCAAAGTAGTGTGTGTTTTCTTAGAATTTAATGTGTTTCTCTTTTATAAAAAAAGAAATTCAAAAGAAGATATCAGCATAATATTTTTGAGCCACAAATTTTTCCCCTCCTCCATCTCCAATAATTTGTTGGCAGTCATTTACGTAAAGTACAGCACTTAGTGTACTTAGTAGAAAAATATTCTTTTTATTGTTTCCATTTTACATTGGTGAAATCTGAATGCTGTGTCCAACCTTCTTCTGCACTAATGACTCTGGTTTTCCAATTCAAAAGCCAGTTTTATTTTTCATTATTCTTGACCTTTAAGGAGGAAAAAAAATCTTTCTTATATTGATTCTTTAATATCAGTTTTCTACCTCCTCCTTGATGCTTCTTTTTCTCATCTTTATCACTTCCTCTTTGTGGGTAGTTTACAGAGGTATTTTTCTCTTCCCTCTTTCCATTGTATCTTTTGATTTCCTTCCAAATCTATTATTATCACCTCCCTGCTACACATTCCCCAGGAGGTGAGGTTAGCCTCTATCTCATATCTAGGTTATTACATGTGTGATTATTTCTTTTCAGAAGGATATCATGTTATATTAATTTCTACTTACTTTTTAAAAGATTTTGTTTATTTATTTTTAGAGGGAGGGAGAAAGAAAGGGAGAGAAACATCAATGTGTGAGAGAGAAACATCAGTTGTTTGCCTCTTGCACAGGCCCCAACCAGGGACCTGCCCGCTACCCAGGCATGTGCCCTGACTGGGAATCAAACCAGAAACCTTTCTTTTTGAGAGAGGACACTCAACCAACTAAGCCACACCTGTCAGGGCTCTACTTATTTTTTAAATTTCAGTCCCTTGGGACATCTTTCCTTATGGATCTGGGTACTTCTCCCATGTGTTATAGCGCATCTTGTTCTTCTTTTTACCATAGCCCTTGTAACATTTTTTATAGACTGCAATGGTTCTCAGAGTGGGAGCACCAACAGTGGCATCACTACTGCCTGGGAAACAGTTAGAAATACAAATTCTGAAGCCCCAGGGTACATGGACTGAATTAGAAACTCTAGGGTGTGGATCAGGAATCTGTTTTCACAAGCTCTCCAGGTGCTCCTGCTTCAGGCTAACTTTCTGAGAACCACTGGTATGTTGCCAACTCCCTGGTTTTTCCTTGATTCTTCTATTAGATTATGGGCTGTTTTAGAAACTCTGGTGGAATCGTTTTCATCATGATGTCTTTAGTTTCCAGTGCAGAATCTGATACCGTGTTGCTGCATAGTAACAAAAGACAACATTTTTTATGAGTTACAATTCCAATTCTCTGATTGCTCAGTATGTAATTTGTATGGAAGGCCAAGAGTCCCTTCAACGTCAGCATCTCTGATAGGAAAGTTGACATTTAATATCCCTCATCCACACTATCCTCCAAAACAATTGCACACATCTGGCTCTACACTGACTTTTTAACTCTCCCTCCTCTACTTTTCTATCAATACTCTAATAATTCTCTCCATTAGTGCTGCGTGTGGTGTGTGGGGAAGCGCCTCCAGCGGCCACTTGTTCCAGATCCAGGCAACAACTGCCACACCAGGGACGGAGCACGTACGGGGAGCGCGGCGTTCTAGGATCTGAGGGTTACTGTCTGGGGCCAACTGAAATGGGACTGGGGACTCTGAATCCCTCAGAGCCCGTCCCGGGGGTGTCACGGATGGGGGGAATACACACGAGTTGTTGCAAACACTTCTCTGTTTGCCAGGAGAGGGGCCATGGCCCATCCATCCCCCTAGTGGGGAAGGCCCCGAGCCCCTTTGTTTAAAGGCTTTTATTGAAAGGGTCATCAGTGGAGCCAGGTAACAGGAATGCACAGCTTATCTCATTACATCACTGTGTTAATGTTTACAGAGAATGGGTGATGCTTTGCAGAAAACAAACGGCAGGAACCCACCAATTTACATGGGTCCGAGAGGTGGCTAGTAAATAAGAGAGATGACTAAACATGAGAGCGTAGTAAACATAAGAGTGCCTAAGGGTATAGGGTTAGGGTCTGTGAATAATGTAAATTTCCTTCCCAGCATGAGCTGGCTAGAGCTTCTGAGGGAAGAGCAAAGCACACTTCAAAGAATTTACTTTTAGGACTCACTCAGTATTGTTTGGAGCCTGAGCCAGGCAGGGGGAGGGAGCTGCCAGGAGACAAGGAGACTTCTTTCAGAAAGAATGAGGACTCTGGCCATGTCCAAGCCGAGCAGAGGGGTGTATGCCTTTTTGCCCTTTCTCCGTGTCCCCCAAGTCCTTGTCTGCTTCCCATACCAGTCGATGTCTGGCTTAGGTTGCCCCTCCATCAAGGGGTCTTACTTGTCATCAACAAGCGACCATCACAGGGCCAAGGAGAGAGGTAGGAGCTATGCCCCTGCCAGGGAGGACAGGTTTTGTCTCCTCAGGGGCCTGTTTCTCCAAGGCCCCCCTGATTATTTCCAGCCTTGGGGCCCTCCCGCCTGTTGGCAGTGTTGCAGTTCCTGAAACCACACAGGATGTTTTCCAATACATTAGTCATGGAAAACCCTTAGTAATCATCTTTTTTAAAAGAATTACTTCATTTATTCTGAGTATACAACTAAAACATTCACCATAGAAAATCGGAAAAATCCAGTTACACACTCAGAATAAAATAAAAAAGCACTGTAAGTTCCCCCACTTGTAGAGAACTATTGTTAATGGTTGCATATATTTATCTAACTTTTATTTCTAGCATGTTTGCTAGAAATGGCATCCTATAAAGGATAAGGTTTTGTGATCTACAGTTATTACACTGCTGTGGATGTATTTCCATGTCCTTAAATATTGTTTTCCACAAAGTTGTTAACCCCTGCATGCTAGTTTTGACAATAATTAGCCTGTCCTAACCCCCTGTTAGTTCGCTGTAAGTCCCACCAAAGCCTTTTGGTTGCCTCCACCACTGCAGTCCAGGCTCTTCGTACTTCTGGAAGCTACTGCAATAGCCTTATATGCCACACTAATTTTCTAGAATGTAATTCTGAACAAATTGTTCAAAAATTAAAATGACTCTCCATGCTTTCCAAATAAGGCCACAGCCTTGAGTTGGACAGTGAAGGATGCCTGCAGGCTCTAGAAGAGACTGCTTCCCATTCTCACAGTGTTTCCCTTATTTATTTTCAAACCTTTTGACTCTTACCACTTCTCTGTCCCAACACTTGTTCTCACGAGTAATTTTACTTAAATTTCCCCTTCAATTATCCTAAAATTGCAAACGTTTTTATCCTCACCACTAGTCCAGTCCTTATCTCCTTCTCTGTTCTGTTTTTTCTGTCATTCTTATTGTAATCTAACGGGCTGCATTTTTCATATATTTAACTTGATAATTGATTGTGCCCCTCTAACTATACTATAAGCTTCATTAAGGCAATGCTTTTGGCCTGTGTCTTGTTCATGATCATATCTTGAAAACCTGAAACAGTGATGGAAACATAAAAGACACGCAAAATATATTTGAAATGTTGAATGAATAATTGAATGAATAAATGAATTAATGAATAAATAATGTATATCTACTGGAAAATTTAACAAGTCAGAGCTCTTACTCCTTCTGCTGAAGGTTATGTCTCTATTCTCTAAAGCTTATATAACCATTATTTCTACTCACGACACATATGGCGTATTGAATTGAGTTATATGTTGCCCTTCCCAATGAGTAATATACAAACCCCTGAAAGGCAGATACCAATTATCTTTGTATCTCTTGCAGTTCTTAATGCATTAACAATAAATATTTCTAAAATTAATTATATTATTGTCAAAAATTAAATTATTACCAAAAGCAAAAAGGTAGTTACATATGAGGACATCTTACCATTTTTCCTGTTGTTAAAAATGAATGTATCTATTTTTTGAAAGAATAACTGCTTTTTGCATGTTGGCAACTATTCCCAAAGAAATCACTATATGTAATAATCTACATCTTTACAGATTATTAATGCTGCACTAGCTTTGGCTGCAAGACCCAAAAGTCAAGTTGTCAAAAAAACCATGGAAATGTACCAGCGCACGTGGGAGAATCATATCCATGTCCTCACGGAAGCTGTTGATGACATCACAAGCATCGATGACTTCCTTGCTGTATCTGGTATGGTTTTGATTTTTTAATTCATACATTTTCTCTAGTCATTTTTTGTGAAACAGAATAATAATAAATATAATCAATTGCATGCAATATAATGAGACTTTTTATTGCCAAGTGCTGCTATGTCTGATCTGTCCTTAGGTAATGACCCCATGCCGTGTGGTCCCTACAACCCAACAATTTACATTGTCTCTCTTAAAGAAACTTCTGTTCTTGAGCAAACCATAATTTAAAATACAGCTGGAAATGTTAGGCGTATCCTGGCTTTTCAAATAAATCATTAGTTTCCCTCCTTTAAAATACTGGTATCTCTTGATTTCCCTGCACTTCTTTTCCAACCATATTTTTATCCACTCAGAAAAAGAAGGTATATGTATCAATGGGGAAACTTTTTATTGATTTGATATACAATGTATATTTCAACTACTAGTACATGTATTTGAATAGTGGTGATCTAAAGAACCAAGTAAACAAGTCTAAATATCTGACTACATCAGTAACAGAGAGGCTTGGGATTCCATGCAAGACCCTGATGATTCTCATCACCAATGATTCTCACCACGGGATTGTGAAATTACTCTCATAAAGCCCTATCCTCAGAAGCATACTGTGGGTTTTGATATACTGTGGTAAAAACAGAGAACTAAATGTTTTTAATCTTTTTTATTCTCATAAAAATTAAACTTCTCCTTAAATTACATATTTTTTGAAAGAGAGAGGTTTTCTTGGAATGTGATAATATTCTTTTTTATAAAGCAAATTGTTGTGAGTTTCTAACATCCTGTTATTTTTTTAGTTTTCTGATGTATTTTGCCTAACTTGTTGAATTCATTACTTTCATACGTGTGTACATTCTCATCCTGAACTGCTATTCCAGAATCCTAGTGTGTTTCTATAATTCGTCAATGAAAGAAAATGTGCAGTAATTATTTTAAAAATTGTTTTATTTCTGTAGAGTGAAAAACTTTGCAAATAACAGAAAACAGTTGTGAGAAAATATTAACATCCCTTGGTCCCGCTATTCAGAAATAACAATCACTAATATCTGATTTATTTCCATCCAACATATACATATATGTGTGTGAGTGCACGTGTGTGTGTGTGTGTATAGTCTGTCCAGAAGGTGTCCGTCCATATAATGTGAAAAATAGAGACATTTACTGAAGAAGATACAAGGTACAGAAAACATTGTACATGGGAAAATGATGTCTCAGTCCCCTTCAAAGATGGCACCTTGGGACCTCATGCAGTTCTCCCAGTCACCATGAGCTGCTCTGTTGTATTTTTCTGAATCTCACTGATGGTCCGAAATCTCTTCCTTTTCAAAGGTGATTTTAGTTTTGGGAAAAAGCCAGAAGTCACGGGGCACCAAATCTGGGCTGTAGGGGGGCTGAGTTACCTGGGTGGATTGATATTTTGCCAGAAAGCTCTGCACAAGATGTGATGCCTGAGCAGGCATGCTGTTGTGATGACGCTGCCAATCACCAGTTGCCCAGAGCTGTACACTTCTGAATCATCCGAATAATTTCTATAGAGGAATGTTCAAGTTCAACACAAAATTTGATGCAGATTCATTACTCTGCTCACTCAGTCATTTTGAATGCTATGGCCACACAGTACACATGCTCACTGAATGGCATCTATCGCCCCCACTGATTACTACAGTGAAGTCATTATTGTTCACACATGTGCATTTCAGTCCACTTTCCTTAGCTGACAAGGTACATCGATATCAGTCAAACCGTTCTTGTTATACTAACAATGACTGGAATTGTTTTGGACAGATGTACTGTTATGACATTTATATATTTATATTTATATATATTTAAATTTATATACACACATATGTATAAGTTCAGCCAAATATTACATATAAAAAGACAAATAATGGGTATGATATATAATGTATATGAATTATTTGTTTTTTATACATAATATTAGGCTGAATTTTCCAACATTATTATATAATTTCAAAAATAAGTCATCTGTTCTCTTTTGTTAACATTTAGATAAATTTTAATTTTATTTTTATAAACAATTCTATATTAAGTTTTTTTTATTTATTTGCTGTTCTTAGTATAGATTTTGCAAAGTGAATTTATTCAACTTCTTATATTAGAGCAGTCTTTTGTAATATAGTTATTCAATGCTAGATTCTGTTTTGTAGTTTGTTCTTTTGGTATATGGCAAAGAAGCCTGCTTGTGCTACTTGACATAAAGGCACTTTTATTGGTATACTGTTGGCACAATAGGGAGACTCTCCTGGACACATAAGAACAGGAGCCATAATTAGCCAGGTTTTGCATAATTAAAACTGGGAGAGTCTGGGATTTCAGCACCTCTTTGGGCCCTTAGAGCAGGAACCCATGGTTTTTCTTTTCAGGGCTGAGTTAACGTGACCTAGCAACCTTCTCAGGCTGCTGCTTTCCAAAAACAATTCCAGTACTTCAGAATACTTTGCCTACATATAATAGAAAACTCATATGAAAGTTGCTTAAAGAATAAAAACCTTTCATTATTTCAGGTAACTAGATGTTTAAGATAGTAGATTCTAGACTTACAAGCCCTAGCATAGCAGAAGACTTGGATAGGAATAGGCCATGTGTGTGGGGAGGAGTATCACATCACTAACATTATTTAGAATTGTTTGTACAGGGTAGTAATAAAAAGCAGATTAATATTTAATGTGTTTGATTATTGTTTTTATATTCTCTACAGGATATTCTATACATTTCATTATTTTCTATCCTGAGAGTGGACTATTTCTACTTTCCTGTCCTTTGGATGTCCTAGTTGGCAGTGGTTTAAGGTTATTAATGGCCTATGTAGGCATCTCTGGATTCTGTTGAACTTCTCTCATGGTTGTAGCTCAAAGCATTTCAAATACTCCCTACAGCGGGGAAGCAAAGTGGATTGCTGGCTTGAACTTATCAAGAAGAAAATCTTTCCAAGAACCTTCCATAAAATTTTCTCCTATTTGTCATAGGTTAGAATCTGTTGGTCCTATACCTTCTCCTGGACCAATCACTGGCAAAAGTAAAGGCAATTTCCATGATGAATTTAGAGTGCTGATAAGTGGTTAACAACTGCTTGGAGGCCAGAGAGAGTAGTAATCCTAATTTATAGCACTTGCTGATTTCTGTGGTGTAAATACTACCATGTTGGCAGGTTATCGAAGCTGCTAATGTGATATCATTGAACTCTGCATTAGGAAGAAACGCATAAAACCAGCCTTTGTGAGCTGGTGTAAACAGGCACTAACATACCATTGGGTTTAGACCAGTCATACATAGCTCAACCTTCCCGACCACTCACTTACTGTACAAATAAAATAAGTTTTTATCTGCAGAAAAGAAGGGAGGATGGCTGTTGACTAGAGAGTAAAATATGTTTGCCCCAAACACTGAGTGTCATACAGAGCTTTCTCAGGTTTCTGTGCCTTCATTAACTTATCTTGTATTAGTTCAGCATGGGTTACAGTGATGTTTCCTGTTACTTAATAACTCTTCAACCTCTGTTCCCACAGATGATGGCATCTTCTCTCAGAATCTTCCCTGTCAAATAAATAAGAAAGAATATAGTTGGCCCCATACATCTCTTTAGTTCTAAGCCTAGGTTTTTAGAACCATGCAAGAAATCCTAAGTTCAGGATCCTGGGCCACCCAGTGAATGGGTTACCTTTTGTCCAGGTGGCTCATTATGGTTCACACGGCTGTGATGGGACTGCCACAATCTGGTACCTTTTGTGTGGTGCAGATTTTCTTAGAAAAGTTGCAGATGTGATCAGCAGTGAATGACTTTTCTAGTACTACTTTATAATGGTTTTTTATAATATGTTGTTTGTATTCGCAGACTTCTGATTCTGCCATTTGCCAGGTAGAACAACAGACAAGTTAGTTCACAGAATATCTAAAGTGTTAATTACCTAGAACATACTATGTTTTCAAAATTTTATAAACATTCTATCTTTTTCCTGGGCTTTTTTTCCCAGTAGATAGAGATGTTAACTTTTTTTTAAATATAAGAATAAAGAATAGGGGTCCTGAAAATATTTCCACTTTCTCCTGAGTCAATAGCAAAAATGCATGGATTCTCAGAATACTAGTTCTCCACATTATAATACAGACAAAAATTAAAGCCTAAAATCAGTGACAAAATATTCTTGGACTTTAAACTATTATTTTATTGTCATTAACAATAAAGGTAGAGACCACACTGATAAAATGTTTGCCTTTTAATAATATTTTAGAAAGATTAGATTGTCCGATGTTGACTAGTGGCTTTGGAAATTAGGATATATCTAATACTAAATGTCTTTTATCTATTTCAATTCCAAATACAGAAATATCATTGAGGAGTTTAAAATTGATATGTTCATATAATCACCAAATTTCTCATGGTAGGAAACCAAAATACCAATTTTCAGAAGCCACCATTTGTTCTCTGCTATATGTAGGAAACTCCAAATACAAGTGTAATCAGTTCTTCCTTGAAAACATAAGAAATACAGCCACCTTACCAGTTTATTATATATTTTGAAACTTTATATGTAAAAATAAAACGAAGCAGTAAATCTAAACCTACTTTCAAAAGCAAGAAGATGTTCAACAAACTGTTCTCTGACGTTTAGTTGTGCAAAAGAGGCTTTTTTTTAGTCGAGTGTTATTTATATCAATGTCAATTCACAAGTAATTAGAAAAACTCTTCAAAAAGCATTGGTCCCCAAACTTTTTGTTCTGTCACTGACTACAGAGCTTATCCCCACATCATGCGCTGTGCTTTTTATGACTCTCTGAAAACACATGTAACAAAACACCTGTCAGAAAGTCTCTGGTTGAAAGATTCTTGGACCACATCAGAGTTGTCTTCTGTACAGACAAAAGATGTGTCTATTTGATGAGTTCAGAGCAGCTCTTTTCAGCCTGCCCTGGTGCCTGCAGTCCTCACTGTCAGTGATCCATTCAGGAATACAAAAGCTTAAGATCTCTATTTAAGATGTAAAT